CCCCCCCCCCCCCCCACCCCCCATCCGGGGCCCCTACCGCCCCCCCCCACCCGCTCTCCCCGCCCCCGCTTTCCCAATCGCCCTTTGGACCCCGCAAATCTTTATCGGCCTCCCCAGATCCCGCATTACTATTCCGCTCTCCCTGGACCCCACTTTCTCGAAAATTCCGCTTCCCTGGACCCCCATTCACTTATCCGCTCTCCCGGCCCCGCATTCACTATACCCTTCTTCTTTTGGCCCCCGCATTCCTATATCCGTTCTCCCGGCCGCTTCACTTTTCCCGTTTCCCCGGCCCCCCGCACTCATATATCCGCTTCCCGGACCCCGCTTCACTAACCGCTTCCCCGCCCCCGCATTCATTATAGCTTTCCCCAGACCCCCGCTTTCACTTTTCCTCTTTTTTTTTTGGGACCCCGCTTAAATTTTTCCGGTTCCCCGGACCCCGTTTCACTTATCCATTTCCCCCCGGACCGCATTCACTTTTCCCGTTTCCCCCGGCCCGATTCACTATATCCGTTTCCCCCGGCCCCCCGCATTCACTTTTTCCGTCCCCGGCCCCCGCTTTCACATATTCGCTCCCCCCGGCCGATTCACTATTTCCCCCTTTTCCCCGGCCCCCGCTTTTTTCATATATCCGCTCTCCCCGGCCCCCACATTACTATATCTGCTCCCCCCCGGCCCCCCGCATTCATTATCGCTCTCCCGGCCCCGCATTCATTATTTCGCTCTCCCCGGACCCCCATTCACTAATGTCTCCCGGCCCCCCATTCACTTATCCGCTCTCCCCGGCCCCGCATTCATTATACCCGCTCTTCCAGCCCCGATTCACTATTCCGTCTCCCGGACCCCGCATTCACTATACCCTCTCTCTTTTGGCCCCGCTTCACAAAAATTCGCTCTCCCCGGCCCCCCGCATTCACTATATCGTTTCTCCCGGCCCCCCGCATTCACATATCCGCCTCCCCGGGACCCCCCATTCATTATATCGTTTTCCCAGCCCCCGTTTCACTATATCCGCTTCCCGGACCCCGTTTACTTATCCTCTCTCTTTTGGACCCGCATTCATTATCCGTTTCCCCCGGCCCCCGCATTCATATATCCGCTTTTCCCAGACCCGTTTTTTTTAAACCTCTCTCTTTTGGACCCCATTCATATATCGGTCCCCCCGGCCCCCCCCGATTCACTAATCCCTTCCCGGCCCCCGCTTCATATATCGCTTCCCCGGACCCCCGCTTCCTTTCCGTTCCCGGACCCGCTTTTCATTTCCCGCTCTCCCGGCCCGCATTCATATATTCGTCCCCCCGGACCCGATTCACTATTTTGTTTCCCCCGGCCCCCGCTTCCTATACCCGTTTCCCCCCCGGCCCCCAATTATTTCTGCTTCCCCCGGGGACCCGCATTCAATATCCGCTCCCCCCGGCCCCCGCATTCATATACCCGCTTCCCCCCGGACCCCGCATTCACTATATCCGCTCTCCCCGGCCCCGTTTTATTATCCGTCCCCGGACCCCGCATTATTATATCCGTTTTTCCCAGACCCGCATTCACTTACCCGCTCCCCCCGGACCCCGTTTCACTTATCCTCTCTCTTTTGGACCTCATTCACTTATTGCTCCCCGGACCCCGCATTCATATATCCGCCCCCCTGGACCCCGCATTCATATATCTCTCTTTTTGGGGCCCCCGTTTCACTAATCCGCTCTCCCCCCCCCCCGCTTTCACTATTCCCTCCCCCCGGCCCCCCGCATTCACTATTCCGCTTCCCAGGCCCCCCGCATTCACTATAATCCGCTCTCCCCGGACCCGCATTCATTATATTCGCTCTTCCAGACCCGCATTCTCTATTTATCCGTCTCCCTGGACCCCGCATTCACTATATCCTCTCTCTTTTGGACCCCGCATTCACTATATCCGCTCTCCCCGGACCCCGCATTCACTATATCTGCTCGTCTCCCGGACCCCGCATTCACTATATCATCTCTCTTTTGGACCCCGCATTCACTATATCTGCTCTCCCCGGACCCCCGCATTCACTATATCTGCTCTCCCTGGGACCCCGCATTTTACTATCTTCTGCTCTCCCACAGTACACCAGAACATGGACATTTAACTATTTTAGTAAATATAAACGGCTAAATCCCTTTTCTCATCAGTATAAAGCTGTCTTGTGACTTCTATCAGTGTCCAGCCCAAGCATGGGTTAATCTTGTAGGAGGAGTTTTTACTTGTCCCCTGATTGTCCTATGAAGCTGCATCACCCCTGACTCTCTGTTCTGGACAGCGCTGATTGGGCCCTGTGCTGATCACATGCACTCTCCCAAAGAAAAAAAAAAAAAACCTCTTTAGCAATACACACCAAACTGAGCATGTGCAGAGTGACTCCTAGGGCTCTGTTACTGTCAGCAGATGAATTGGGGACAATAGAAGAAGGGGAGGATCAGAGAAGACCAGATCAAACAGCCCTTTTACACAATGCGGGAGGATTAACCCCTTAGGTTGCACAGTGAGTATAACCAGCATGCTTTGCTGCATCTTTTGTTTTGTGGTGTTTGGATGTTCCGGCTCATTTCTGTGCAGACATTATTGCAGTGTCTAACATATTATTTTTCATGCAAAAACCTCAAAGTATGGTGTACCGGGTCCATGTGAGTACCGGGTCCATGTGAGTACCGGGTCCATGTGAGTACCGGATCCATGTGAGTACCGGGGTCCATGTGAGTATCGGGTCCATCTGAGTACCGGGGTCCATGTGAGTTACCGGGTCCATCTGAGTACCGGGTCCATGTGAGTACCGGGTCCATGTGAGTACCGGGTCCATCTGAGTACCGGGTCCATGTGAGTACCGGGTCCATGTGAGTACCGGGTCCATGTGAGTACCGGGTCCATCTGAGTACCGGGTCCATGTGAGTACCGGGTCCATGTGAGTACCGGGTCCATGTGATTACCGGGTCCATCTGAGTACCGGGTCCATGTGAGTACCGGGTCCATGTGATTACTGGGTCCATGTGAGTACCAGGTCCATGTGAGTACCGGGTCCATGTGAGTACCGGATCCATGTGAGTACCGGGTCCATGTGAGTACCGGGTCCATCTGAGTACCAGGAAAACGCTTTGCATGCATTTTTCATGATGAAAAAAAGATTCTGGACAATATCTGGAAATGGAAGAGTTAAAAAAAAATTTCCAAACGCAAACGGTTATAAGCACGTTTAGCCGCATTTACAAGCGTTTGGCGTAGGAAACGCTGATAAAATCTACTCCTGAATGCACGTTCGGTGCGTTAAAAAAAAAAAACACTGTAAACTCAACTGCCTGTATAGGACGATGTGTACAGACATATAGAACATTGGGGAGAGTTCAGGGGCTGCTGAAAAAAATGCAGAAAAGCTCCTAAATGTCTTCTTGCTTACTACTACTCATGTGATCACTGATTGGCCAATCGGTGATCACATGATCGGGACCTCGCACAGATGTCCCTTACACAGCAGTAACCGGATCACGGTGTCACGCGCTCCCAGTCCAACATGGCAGGTGCCTTTTATGAACCCGCCCCTGCACTGCCACCGTCCAGCTGTTATATACAGCGGCCAGATGAGAAGTGGTTAAAGAGGAGGAACCAGGGGCGGGGATGACAACTCATGGGGCCCCTGGGCAATAGGGGATAATGGGGCCCTGTGTCCTTGCCCAAACTCAAAGCCTATAAAAGGTACCAGGGGCATCTCATGGGGCCCCCTACTGACCCCGGGCCCTCGGGCAGTGCCTGAATGGTCAGTCCACCCCTGGGAGGAACCATCCTATATCTGGGAGAGGATGTCTGTTGAAGATTTCCTGCCATGCTGATTCCTGATCACACTGCGCATAGTGACCCGTGTTATACGGCCTAAATGTCCGGTGAGGGGCTCATTTTTTCGGGTGTTTGGTGACATCAGAATCTTCTCCTGCAACTTGTTCATTTATTTGAGGACTTATATGGATTTTTTATTTCTGACATTCCTATACATTGTAATTAGCGCCGCATTTCTTTTGTTCACAGAGGAGAAACATGCTGGGGGGGTTACTGGCTGCAGAAAAAAAAAAAACGTCAAAAGCCCAAAAACAGCCGCTGTAAAAACGTCCCGTGTGCAGGAGGACTACGTGGCTGGGAGTGAAGCGGATTCATCGACTTCATATGTTGCATTTATTTCTAAACAACTTCATCGTGATAATGACGTGCATTTATTTGTGGGATTTTTTTGTCATTTTTTATATGATTTTTATTATTATTATACAGTATTTATAAAGCCCCCATAGTTGGCTCAGCGCTGTACATGACAGAGGGGGACAGAACATGTGACAGAACAATACCAATACAATGCAAAACATGAGGGGATCGAGGGCCCTGCTCCTTGGAGCTTACAATCTAGGAGGGAGGGGGTGGTGGCACAGGAGGAGATAGCTGTGGGGGATGGAGTGGTAGGAAGAGTGGAGGAGGTCGGCAAGTTAGCAGGGGGTGGGGTAGACTTCCCTGAAGAGATGGGTTTTCAGGGTGCGCCTAAAGGAGAGGAGCGTAGGTGATAATCTGATGGGTTGGGGCAGGGAGTTCCAGAGGATGGGTGACACCCTGGAGAAGTCCTGGAGGCGGGCATGGGAGGAGGAGCCCAGGGAACTAGAGAGAAGGAGGTCTTGTGAGGAGCGGAGTGTGCGTGTTGGGTGGTACTTGGATATTAGGTCAGTGATGTAGTTCGGGGCAGTATGGTGGACGGCTTTGTACGTCAGTGTTAGGATTTTGAATTTGATCCGTTGCGCAATCGGAAGCCAGTGGAGGGATTGGCAGGAGAGAGGGGTGGAGGACACTGAGTGGAGGCCAGTGGAGGGATTGGCAGAGGGGGGTGGAGGACACTGAGTGGAGGCCAGTGGAGGGATTGGCAGAGAGGGGTGGAGAACACTGAATGGATGTCCAGTGAAGGGATTGGCAGAGGGGGGTGGAGGACACTGAATGGAGGCCAGTGGAGGGATTGGCAGAGGGGGTGGAGGACACTGAGTGGAGGCCAGTGGAGGGATTGGCAGAGAGGGGTGGAGGACACTGAGTGGAGGCCAGTGGAGGGATTGGCAGAGAGGGGTGGAGGACACTGAGTGGAGGTCAGTGGAGGGATTGGCAGAGGGGGGGTGGAGGACACTGAGTGGAGGCCAGTGGAGGGATTGGCAGAGGGGGGGTCGAGGACACTGAGTGGAGGCCAGTGGAGGGATTGGCAGAGAGGGGTGGAGGACACTGAGTGGAGGCCAGTGGAGGGATTGGCAGAGAGGGGTGGAGGACACTGAGTGGAGGCCAGAGGAGGGATTGGCAGAGGGGGGTGGAGGACACTGAGTGGAGGCCAGAGGAGGGATTGGCAGAGGGGGGTGGAGGACACTGAGTGGAGGCCAGTGGAGGGATTGGCAGAGAGGGGTGGAGGACACTGAGTGGAGGCCAGAGGAGGGATTGGCAGAGGGGGGTGGAGGAGATGGAGTGGTTGGAAAGGTGAATGAGTCTGGCAGCCGTATTCAGGATGGACTGAAGGGGGATAGCCAGCGGTGAGGCAGGCCAGTGAGGAGGGAGTTGCAGTAGTCGAGTCGTGATATGATGAGGGAGTGGATGAGCTGTTTAGTGGGTTCTGGATGAGTATTATATTATGTATAGTATGGATACAAAGTAACTATAATAATGGGTATATGAAGGGTTAATACATCTGAAATACCATAAGCTGAAGGTAAAGATGGCCGCCTAGCTGGTGGCCTCAGCGGCGTGACGTCAGGACGCTGCAGCTCCTCACTTTGCTGGATGTGTATTTGCGCTGTTGTCACTTTATTTACCTGTGCTGATTGATTTGTCACTTTCTTTGGCACTACTTGCACTTTATATATCATCAAGATTTATTGGAATAATTGCATTATATTTATTATATTATTCTAGCGCCGCACCTTATTATATTAGTTGGTCTCAGAAGGTTATTGGTGCCTTTCGGTGTTACATCAGCTCATCCCCCTTAGCGCTCACTTGTAATGCCTTTTTATGCCCATGGATGGATGGATGAAGACATGGATGGATGGATGGATGGATGGTGACATGGATGGATGGATGGAGACAGGGATGGATGGATGTAAGACATTGATGGATGGATGGTGATTATGGATGGATGGATGGTTGAAGACATGGATGGATGGATGAACGGATGGTGACATGGATTGATGGATGGATGAAGACATGGATTGATGGATGTAGAGAGACATGGATGGATGTGGGAGTTTCCTTTGAATATTAAAAACAATTGAAATAAATGTTCGGTTTGTGGTGCTCAGACACCAGTTTAGTTCCTCTTTATCTGCAGCAGAAAGAAGCCGGTCTCCACCCTGGCTGTACAGTCGGCAGGGCTGGATGCACAGAAATACTCGTTCAGTGGCTGACCCTGCCCCCTCCTACGTCTCTGCACAATGCCCGGAGTCCACATCTCTGCACAATGCCCGGGAGTCCATGGCACAATTCCCGGAGTCCTCTCTGCACCATGCCCAGAGTCCATGTCTCTGCACATACCCGGAGTCCACGTCTCTGCACCATACCCGGAGTCCATGTCTCTGCACAATGCCCGGTGTCCATGTCTCTGCACAATGCCCGAAGTCCATGTCTCTGCACCATGCCCGGAGTCCATGTCTCTGCACAATGCCCGGAGTCCATGTCTCTGCACCATGCCCGGAGTCCACTGTCTCTGCACCATGCCCGGAGTCCACGTCTCTGCACAATGCCCGGAGTCCACGTCTCTGCACCATGCTTGGAGTCCATGTCTCTGCACCATGCCGGAGTCCATGTCTCTACACAATGCCCGGAGTCACGTCTCTGCACCATGCCCGGAGTCCATGTCTCTGCACAATGCCCGGAGTCCATGTCTCTGCACCATGCCCGGAGTCCATGTCTCTGCACCATGCCCGGAGTCCCTTGTCTCTGCACCATGCCCCCCCCCCGGAGTCCATGTCTCTGCACAATGCCGGAGTCCATGTCTCTGCACCATGCCCGGAGTCCATTTGTCTCTGCACCATGCCCGGAGTCCATGTCTCTGCACCATGCCGGAGTCCATGTCTCTACACAATGCCCGGGAGTCCACGTCTCTGCACCATGCCCGGAGTCCATGTCTCTGCACCATGCCCGGAAGTCCACGTCTCTGCACCATGCCCGGAGTCCATGTCTCTGCACCATGCCCGGAGTCCATGTCTCTGCACCATGCCCGGAGTCCATGTCTCTGCACAATGCTGGAGTCCATGCCGGTCTAACCATCTTTTCGGGTTTCCTACTAGAACTTTGTGATCTCCCTGCAAAAAAAAACGATTTAGTTCTTTTGAAAAACACTAAGAGAAGCGTAAAAGGAAGACAAACTCTTTTAGGTTCCCCAAACATTTGATAAAAAGCGTTTTGCGGTCCTGGGAGATGAATGGTGTCATTGATGAATCCCCTCTGCAGACGTGTCATCTGCCGGTGTGTCGGGGATGGATGGCGGACCGGGATGAATTATCCTCCTACAGAGAAGGAACCTTTGTGATCTTTCCATATTAAATAGCTTCAGGTTTGCGGCATGCGCCCGCTCGGTGACACCATATTTCAGCTCCCGTATTCTGCCTCCTAGGCTGGGCCAGGGAAATGTTGATGGGGATTATGTACGGTTTCTGGCAGATGCCGTTCTATTACTCACCCCGCTGTGATGGCGTGGAAGAAGCATTGGTGTTTGCACGGGCTCCTCGGCGAGATGTATGCGCAGCGATCTGTCACTCAGCTCCCGGCCCGCTCTGCACTCGGCCTCTGGAAATGCTTTAACCTCACTTAGCTTTGTGGAAGGAGAAGTTTGTTCGGTTGTGAAAAAAGTCCAAAAATAGATTTTTGTGGCCCTCAGAGACGGTTCAACTCATCAGACGGATCTATGCAAAGCCTACGCATGGCCAGATGATATCTCCAGGATGGCCCATCGTCCTCGAAATTGTTTTCCTGTCCTATTGGACCTACCACCCCCTCTTCCCCCAAAACCACTCTCTCCCCGCTACTCATTGCGTATAATACGAGGACTGTACCAAAAGTCAAGCCAAAGTGGGCAGAACTTTTTTTATGAGCTTACATAGGTCGTTCAGATTTTACAGGTTGGTACTGTAACACCCTCCTAGCTAGGCTGCTGGATCAGAGGGAGCAGTGGTTGTTTAGTCCAGTCTGCTCAGGGTTCCACAAGCGGGGAGTTTGATTGCGTCCTGCTGCCTCTAGAAGAAGTTCCAAGAGCCTAGGGAGGCAGAATTCAAATAACCGGCATGAAAATTTAGCAGGACTTGGCCAATCCTTGGGGAGGTGGGCTCAACTGGTGGCTGGTGATGCTGATAAATAGTCTGTAGGCTCGAGGAGATGGTCTTCCCAACACCCCTGAGAGGAGAGGGTGACTGCTATATCACCTAGAGCCTTTGGATTGGACGTTGAGCCACAAAATAACAGAAATTATGGACTTCTGAACAATCTCTGAGAACCTCTTTCTGTGCTGAAATTTGATACATGGCCCCTGGCCATGAACCTATAGATTGCTCCAGTCTACTGCTACTTGTGCTCCATATTGCTGCATGGTCTCCAGCTGTGCATCTATGGACCGGTCCAGTCTACTGCTACTTGTGCTCCATATTGCCGCATGGTCTCCAGCTGTGCATCTATGGACGGTCCAGTCTACTGCTACTTGTGCTCCATATTGCCACATGGTCTCCAGCGGTGCATCTATGGACGGCTCCAGTCTACTGCTACTTGTGCTCCATATTGCCGCATGGTCTCCAGCTGTGCATCTATGGACCGGTCCAGTCTACTGCTACTTGTGCTCCATATTGCCGCATGGTCTCCAGCTGTGCATCTATGGACCGGTCCAGTCTACTGCTACTTGTGCTCCATATTGCCGCATTGGTCTCCAGCTGTGCATCTATGGACGGTCCAGTCTACTGCTACTTGTGCTCCATATTGCCACATGGTCTCCAGCTGTGCATCTATGGACGCTCCAGTCTACTGCTACTTGTACTCTATATTGCCACATGGTCTCCAGTTGTTCATCTATGGACTGGTCCAGTCTACTGCTACTTGTGCTCCATATTGCCGCATAGTCTCCAGCTGTGCATCTATGGACCCGGTCCAGTCTACTGCTACTTGTGTGCTCCATATTGCCGCTATGGTCTCCAGCTGTGCATCTATGGACTGCTCCAGTCTACTCTAGGACTTGTGCTCCATATTGCCGCATGGTCTCCAGCGTGTGCATCTATGGACCGGTCCAGTCTACTGAATACTTGTACTCTATATTGCCACATGGTCTCCAGCTGTGCATCTACTATGGACTGCTCCAGTCTACTGGCCCCTCCAACAACTGACCTCCCAGCAACATTAGACCACTATGCAAACATAGATCCCCTCCAGTGACAACAGATACCCAAGCAGCCATCATCAAAAGACCCTCCAGCCTCCCTCGCCATTGCATACATTCAGTGCTGGAGGTGCGAGAACTGCACCTCCAGCACTGAATGTTACTGGTTTACTATAGAGGAAGGGTTACTATAGAGGAAGAGTTACTATAGAGGAAGAGTTACTGTAGAGGAGGGGTTACTATAGAAGGTTACTATAGAGGAAGGGTTACTATAGAGGAAGGGTTACTATAGAGGAAGAGTTACTATAGAGGGAGGTTACTATAGAGGAAGAGTTACTATAGAGGAAGGGTTACTATAGAGGGAGGAGTTACTATAGAGGAAGAGTTACTATAGAGGAAGTGTTACTATAGAGGAAGGGTTATAGAGGAAGGGTTACTATAGAAGAGTTACTATAGAGGAAGAAGTTTACTATAGACGGAAGGTTACTATAGAGGAAGAGTTACTATAGAGGAAGTGTTACTATAGAGGAAGGGTTACTATAGAGGAAGGGTTACTATAGAGGAAGGGTTACTATAGAAGAAGAGTTACTATAGAGGAAGAGATTACTATAGAGGAAGAGTTACTATAGAGGAAGTGTTACTATAGAGGAAGGGTTACTATAGAGGAAGGGTTACTATAGAGGAAGAGTTACTATAGGGGAAGGGTTACTATAGAGGAAGGGTTACTATAGAGTGAAGGGTTACTATAGAGGAAGGGTTACTATAGAGGAAGGGTTACTATAGAGCAGTGGTTCTCAACCTTTCTAATGCCGCGACCCCTTAATACAGTTCCTCATGTTGTGGTGACCCCCAACCATAAAATTATTTTCGTTGCTACTTCATAACTGTAAATTTTGCAGTGGGAGGAATAGTGCCACATCATTAGTGTCAGTGGGAGGAATAGTGCCCCATCATTGGTGTCAGTGGGAGGAATAGTGCCCCATCATTGGTGTCAGTGGGAGGAATAGTGCCCCATCATTGGTATCAGGGGGAATAGTGCCCCATCATTGGTGTCAGCGGGAGGAATAGTGCCCCATCATTGGTGTCAGTGGGAGGAATGAGATAGTGCCCATCATTGGTATCAGTGGGAGGAATAGTGCCCCATCATTA